GAAAAGGTCTATTTTCGAAAATTACGTCAAATATGCTTACTTCGTTCTGTATCGTTTCCGGGGTGACATCGCGTGTTTGTGTGACTCTGTAGCACACCCAGTACGTTGAAAATATTTTTCCAACATCCGAAAATCACCTCCATAACGTTAGATCCGTCATAGTACAACATACGGATTCTCGCATATGCACAGTGGTACTTATTTTGCTCATAGGCCGAAAGTAGGCTATGTTATGGTAGGTTATAAGTTATTTTGCGTTAGCGTAGAGAGCACTATTTCGGATAGTTTTGGGATTTCGGATTAATAAACTTTGCAGAAAAATGTGAGTGTTTTGTCGGTAGTTTTCAGCTTCAGCATCCTCTTTAGAGTTAACAATTCAGTAGCACGGGGGTGTCGACTGCGCGTTCACTAGCGAAGAGACCATTTCGAACAATTGCTGATATTCTATGAAGGCTATAGTTTATTTTTTTTTTATAATTTGGTATGAGAATTAAATTTATTTTTTAATAGCTGTTTGATTTATATAAAAAGTTTTACAAAAACTATTAGAACTTTTCCATTATTTTTGAGATATGGGAAATATACCCTTAATCGAAGAAGTATCATTGTAGTTTTGCTCGGCTAGGATATACTTATGATGCAGGAAAAACTTCAAGAAAATATGGAAATTTGCGAGAGCAAAGAATAAAACTGTACGCAGAAGTAATTTTTTTCAAGAACTATAAAACTTTTTCAACAATTTTAAAATACGTGTGAAAAGATATTTCCATACTGAATTTTTCGTACGTCATGCATTACTTTAGATGTAGAGAAAAGTTTCATTGAATTAACCTGACAATGCAAATGATAATACAATAAATTTATTTGCGTAACAGTTGCCTTGCAAATGATAACAAGCGATGCAACTCGATCGACATGACTACAATTGCCTATCATTGCCCAGAAGTGTAACGAATATTCCATTTCTCTGCAATTTTCATAAACGTACAGGAACAGTAGTAGTACTATACGTTACACAATAGTTACACGAAATAAAATATGTTTTCATGCTGATATTAGAATTAATAAGCAATTGAAGCTGCAGTATTGAAAATACACATTTCAGTATGAGATATTTTTATTTTTCTGATATTTTCTTGTATATGTATAATAAATTTGTGTATGCTATCATGTTACAAAATTTATCTGATAAAATTGCTCGTTTATTCATGTCGTATATATACAAATTTTATCAATATGATCACATCTATGCAATGCAAGGTTTATACTACTGCAATTTCTTACAAGTTGATTCAGGAAATTAAAGTATTGTACTGCAATTGAGCTATGTATGTGCCCTGTTGATAATTAAGACCATTAATGAGAAAGAGAGAGAGAGACGTATTGAAACGTATAAGCGTTAGCTTATAGTTAGCTTAAATAAACCTACCCAAAAGGTACAATCCGATTTATTTCAAATTTAGCACAAATGTAGAAGTACAAAAAATATTTAGATCATATTTTTTCATTTTGACCCACTTTAAGTTTCACAGATAGTTTATAACCTTTGAATGTTCTTATTCTTATCATCAACAAGTATAACAAAAATGCATAAGAAATAAAATTGAAGAAAAGATATAGTTAAATAATTTTAATAATCGGTATAGTTGAGAAATAAAATTGAAGAAAAGATATAGTTAAATAATTTTAATAATCGGTATAGTTGAGACACATTCTAAACCCTATTCTAAATTTCTTTAGCCGAGATTCCAACCAAAATATTTTTAATCTGCTAAATTAGTCAAAAATTGTTCGAATCTCGGCAAACTAAGAAATTGTTTGTATAAATAATTTTTTTCAACTTTTTACATGTTTTGTTTAAACATTTTATTATTTATACAAATAATTTTACACATTGGACTTCATATTCATAATAAACAAACCAAAACGCCTATATCTTGTATTCATTTTATTTCTTATGCATTTTTGTTGTACTTGTTGATAGGAGTGAGAACATTAAAAAGCTATAAACTGTGCGTGAAACTCAAAATGGACCAAAATGAAAAAATTTGAACTAAAATTTTTTGCACTTCTACATTTGTGCCAAATTAAAAAGAAATCGGAGTGTAACTTTTGGGTAGGTCTACTTGTTAGTTGGTGGAGTAGCCACTCGGATAGTGAGAGGTCTCAATTTCCGATCCAATCTAACATACCCGACATTTTTAAAATTTTTTCACAGCTTGATACTATTGATATGCTGTATTATGCAAAAATTTCCTACATAAATGTGTCTCATACAACACAATAATAGAAAAAGATAACAAGTAAAGATAAACAGTGAAGATAAGTAGAAAAGGAAAAGAAAGAAAAATGATTGGAATAATGAAAAAATTTAAACTAAAATAAGAAATTAGAAATAGGAAATAATAAATAAAAGGAGAGAGAGACAAAGAGAGAAGAGAAGAGTGAGTTGGTGAGAGACGAGAAGTCATTTTCCTCGGTATTGTTTTCCTTGGCTTATCAATCGCGAAAATTGCTTAATAATTGTGCGAAGGGAACAATAGTCATCGTCTACCTGACGCATAACTCTACTTGAGATCTATTCCGCCACTTCTGACGCATTGTACGTTTGCACACTTTGAAGTCGGGTGAAATTAAATCTGGGAGACTTATGATCCGTTCTAACGAGCGGGGAAGGGGACTCGGGGTATCTTGACGCGATGAGTGAATATTCAGATATTTCGACAAAGGACGGTCTTACCTTGGCGACTCCGTAACCTTTGGCACGTAACCTGAAGAGGCAAGGCACCACCACAGCTGGTGACACAGCTGCTATGATACTACCGAGCAGGAAACCCCATATCCAAGGTAGATGCAGGAGGTACGTCGTCAACGCCGCGACTACCGTAGCTTCCACCACCCAGGGTATTAGACCGAGCTTCGGCACGGTGATTTTTAGTCTCTTCAAGGCATTCGGATCGAGATCCAAGCCCGCTCTAGTCAGTATGATTACCAAGGCGATTTTCCTGCAAAGAGCAAACACACGGCCACGTGAAAACATGTCTTCGATTTTTTACCGCGCGTCGTGCTGTTTTCCGATGGCAAGGGAGGGAGAGAAAGAAATTAAACTGTAATTTTTCCAATTGACGCGCGGAGGAGCAAAAGACTGAACTGTTAGATCTCCTTCTGCAATTCATATGTCCTCGAGAACTGCAATCTGGGACAGGCGACGACGAAAGTTCGTAGCGGCGCATCGCGTGCGACTCACGATGAAAATTCAGGTACGGCGATCGTTAAAGCCGGTTGTCTCGAACTTCGGAAAACCCGTTTAGGAAAGGCACACCTTAAGGAAACTTATCCTATTATGAGTTTTCCGAGGAAAAGGTTTACGAAGTCGCAGCGGGGCGACCGTGTATTTCTCGTCGCGGCGCGAGCCCGTCCGCCTTTCGATCGCAGGGGAAAACGTCGAATTTACACCGACGCAAAGTGGTGTGGGCAGGAGAGAGAGTTTCGAAGAGTTTTCTATTAAATGTTATTAATTATCCCCGACGTGTGTTACGTCCCGCGCACGGTATGTACAAACGGTAATTCTATATTCAGACAAAAAACTGCAATTATAAAAGAAATAGCTGAGTTGTACACGGAAAAAGGGTTGAATTAACCAAATATCTGGTCGAATATGAACGATCCAGAAATTCCGATTGAAGTAACTTGAATTCTGTTCAAGTTAACAAGATTTTTGGTTGACTTAAACAGAATTCGGGTTGCTTCAATCGGAATTTTTGGATCATTTATTTTCGACCAGATATTTAGTTAATTCAACCAAACCTTCTTTTCCGTGTAGAATCTAAACCATATAGTGTTGATTGAAGTATAGAAGTATTGTCAGAATAATTATAAAATACAGCTAATTTATTTAATATCCAAAGTTATTACAACTATATAAATTATCATGGCTATGACAAAAAATTACAGATATAAGGTGTTGTTAACATTGAGCGCGTTTTACTTCTTTAGTCGTGTTACTGTTTCATAGATTCAGTTATATTTTATTTGAGAAGAATATGCTTGCGTGGATTTGATCTCGAAATTTCAGATAGCTCTGTATTTCACATTAGACCACTCGTACCTTGGTTGATAAAAGTTTCTATTCTTTCTTTCTGTTATTTACATATATTATATACTAATATGATACAGAGTGGCCGTATAAACTTTAATAGTATGTTCTATGAACTGAAATAAGAAAAAAAATGTTAAATAAACATAGATCCCAAAATGCTTTATTAAAAAATTACAGCAAAAATATAAAATGTATGACAATTTTTCACCTAAGTTAATAGAAAATAACTTGGAACACCCTGTGTAATTAATGTATAAACTATTTAGTTACAATAACTACTGAAATAGTTTATTAAACTACATAAAATAGTTCTACATATCAGTAGTTGTCACAACCATGTGTTTTTCCTAAACGTATTTTTTTCCTGTACTAACGCTCGTCAATTCCGCATAGATCCCGGGTTTTATTTTAATTATTTGCAAAAGAAAAGGAAATCATACATGGAATTAACTTTGTCGTTATATCGTTGTGCGATACGTTGTAATAAAGTAGGACAGACTCTCTCTCATTTTAATTTTGAGTAAATAATTTCCCTCCCGGATACACGTGCGCACATTTTTCATTAATTTCAATACGAGACGTAACGGCGAAAAGTAGTAATAAAAAATGAAAGTACAGCGGAAAAAGCGTTATCGCTATATTAATTTCATTATTTTTCCTTGTTAATGGTAGAGTGTACTCACGGGCCATATACTGAGAGACTATCACGCGAAGATTCGCTCGTATCCCGTAACTCGGTACGTGTCTGAAGGCCGCGGTATACACGCAATAAAAATATAATAGAAGCAGTAAACATTGGTGTAAACTACACCGCGGATCGATAATTGGTAATACCGCGTGCGCTTGCATAGCGTTTCGCGAAGCGCGAATGCCCGTCTCGATGTTTGCTTAATTGTCGTGTCATAATACGCCCTCAGTGTATATGTGTGTGCGTGTGCGTGTGTGTACGAAACGTGTACGTGGGAGGGTTTGTATGACTTCATGATTATGTAAACGAAAATGAATATTGAATTATTAGACATAATTTAGCGCGAATCCCATGCTGACGTTTCATTTTAATTGCAAAGCGCGATCGTTTTGCGCTGGCTGGATATCGAATTATCGTTTTAACTCGTGGAAATTTCGTCTCGCCGATTTTCGCTCTCTTAGGGCGACTGTCCGCATAGAAATTGCCCAAGATTTTCCCGGATACAGCATAGATTCCAACTAGAATGTCTAAATTTGCCCCAAAATTGGTTAAATTATCTGCATAGAAAATTTTCTAGGATTTAATAGGAATCCATTCCGATTTATTCCTTTTTAAAATAATGGATTCTGATTGCGAAATCCAAGATGTTCGATTATTAGAAATATAATGTTTAAAAGTGTAACAAACAAAGAAACAAATCTCTTATATTTCTATAAATCATAATTATAAAAGTACTAATTATAATTTTGTTGTAATTCTCTGGTCTCTTCTTTTCATTTCACTCATTCTACACAACTTTTCTTCTGGGTTTTCTACTTAGAATGACAAGTTCAATTATTTGAAAAATCGAAATGGACTTCAATTAGATGCCAGAATATTTTCTATATTCGAGATAAGAATGGGATTTCCAACTGGTATTGCAATACAAGATTTGGAACAAGTTTGGATAATCTGATCGAAATTTATGCTATATTTGTGAAAATTTCTATATGGGATTCCATACAGAAAAAATTGATTATTCCACTACAATATTGATGGGGAATCCTATCCCTTTGTCCCAAACATTGTGTGCTTTATTTGAGATCAAAAACACGGGAACTCACGCTTTTCTTTATGTAACATCAGTATATTTTTATATCAAACGAGAAATTTAATTTTCATAAAAATATTGCACTTAATAGAATAAAAAATCAGAAAAATGAAATATCTTTAAAACATTTCGAGTATTGAATAATGAAATTATTTGAAAAAACCAATATATTCTAATGTAAAATGAAGACCAGGAAAACTTAAGGTTTTTGGCATGTTTGAAACATTGCACTTCTAGCCAGAATCAATAATTATTTTGGGAAATCATATTGAACTCTAATTACATCCCAAGAAATATTCTATACGGACCTTTGCGTTCTCTAGAAATCAGTTTCTTAAATCTTACAAATTCGAGGGGCCGGGATTCATCTCGGGAGGATTAATTTTGCCACGACGCGTACATGTCATCCGTGAAGCGCATCGTCGAAGAGAGGTAATAGACTTTCTATGATCGAGATCGCGTGATCCCGTGCTATGGAGTCATGGGAAGCCGCCGCTTCCCTGGTTTTCCTTGTAGATCAAAGCCGACGACAGAGCGATCTTAGTTCGCAAGGCGGCTCGATACTCACGTGCCGTATAATTTACGATTGACATTCGCGTCAGCGAACGGGAGTGCGTTGGGGGAATCGTCGCGCCGCGTTGATTCTCGCACAGAACAGTGTGCCTCGGTGGAATTTTGCGAAAATATCACGGCCTTTTCGCTCAAAAGATAAAAATAGTTTATCCTTTAACCAGTATATATCGAAAGGCACAGTATTACCGAATTATGAACTTTAAGTGATAAAATGTATGAGAATATCCAATAGTATTCCAAAAAATATCTATTACAAAAAATTTAATTATTTGAATAATTATTTTACAAAAAATACCTATTCACCATAAGTGTGAAGGTAAGCAAGTTGAAACAGACATATTAAGCGACAATAGATTAAATAAAATAAACATGTCGATACGAACTAATGTAGATCATCTAAAGGGACATTGAACATTCTATCGGATTATAATGTTCGTGCTATTGTCATAACTGTTCAAATTCGTGCTATCTTAATGCAAATAGATGTATAAAAAATATTTCATATGTACGAAAAAAATGTGGCCATCGTGTCTGCCGGCAGTAACTGAAGAAAGCTAACTGAAGAAAGCGAAAATACTCTATGAGTACTCGTTACAAACACGGCGCGATGCGCCACCTTGATTTCGCAGGATCAAAGGAATTTTTCCGAAATGAACGTATCTGGAAGGACACGCTCTGGCACGTTGTGCAAATTGCGCGCGCGACTGTGGAGAATGCCGCACATGCGTGTGTTGCAAGAATATTTACGGCGGATTCATGCCCGTACATCCTAGCGACGTGGAAGCGCGAGATTCTTGGAGCGAAGATTCTTGGGGCGAAAAAGTACGCGAAGAAACGAATGACGTGCCTCGCATCGTTGATACATCGCAATAAATCGCAATAAATGATAAACAAGTTTTCATGAAATGCGAAAGAATCGACCGCGAGGTGAGAATTTCCCCGTTTCTGAGCTGTGAAAAAATCCCGCGGTTAACATTAACAGAAGTGTTACATTATTTATCAGCTGCTCCCTTCATCGTGACAATTTTCAAGACTTGTCAATTTTTTATCGGTCGTTTTATTAGTCTCAACTTTCACGATTCTTCGCCGAAGCCATCCACAAATTTGCGTCACGGTGTCACCTTTCGAGTACTTGAAATTCCTAAAAAAGGACCCAGCTGAATCCAAGCACGTTTTATGGAGAACGGTGTCGGAAGTGTGCCATCGTGTCGTATTCAGATTCTCAACTGTTGTACTTAGGACACATTACCTAATGACCGTCGGTAAATTGGCACAAGTCAATAAGTGTCTAACCGCGGTTTGATCACTTTATTAGTCTTGCAGTAGACGCAAGGGGGACAATGGGGATGGGTAGCGGCTTCTGGGGATGTTTACGTGTACAGGGGGATGGCTTCGCCTAAGCGAACGTGTACGCAAATCGCTTACAACGCGCGGCCTATGTTTGATCGCATTTGACTGCATTTAGCTTAGCCGTACACGACCTCCTAATGACGTAAATGCCCCGTTAAATCCAGTATTACGTTTAACCGTTATGTGTGACAGAGTTCTATCGACA